TGCTGAAAAATAACAATGGCAAAAGTGCAGTTATTTCAAATCGCGTTGTGGACAGATTGGTTAGGCTTAAGACAATAAGATTGAAATAAAACGTTTTAATCCCATAACGACTACTTTTTTTCGATTTTCTAATTGCATAGACCTTAATGAAACATCATTTGGGGCCTGTGGTTGTTGATCAACCTAGAGTAAATGCTACAGTATCTTGATGAGGTAAGAGAGGGGACGATGCTGAAGTGGCACTTAAATGTTAAATTAGGTAGACATGATTACTCGCCTTGTGGATTTGTGGAAACTGGTCAGCCAGATGAATATATGCGTGGGAAATACAGCAGGCGCCTTAATTCTCCGTCCTTCATCAATCGAACGGTAAACCCCAATGCTTACATATTAGGTCGACGGATAAACATAAGTTGCCTATTTCCATTCATAAAATTGGCTTTTTTCTGAAAATTTAAAAGGAAATCCTAAACTCCACTCTCATTTTAACAACAAATTGAGTAGCACATAATCCCAATTTGAACGTCCAAATTTTAATCATCTAAATTGCCATTTTAAACAAAGTTTGAAATACTGGCTGATTTCGATGATTATGAGTAGATTGATGCAGACAGAGTTCTTAAGAAATTAATTTAGTTAATTAATTATTTTACACCATTTTGATCAAAATTCCACGAAATCCCTTTATCCAAAATATTGAAGTGTTGTTTGAGATTTTGTATATACCTGAAAAGGGCTGATGAATATACTAGTTAATGCTCTAATCAGTAATTATTCCAATGATTTGCTTGTATGGTTACAATAAAGTAGTACCACATAACACTGGGAACTCCTAACCAGTTTGCCCCTTGCTGTGCCTCCGAATCTCATGTCAGCATTCACTTACGAAGGTGCTGCTTAATGTAGGGTGGATTTACCACCAGTAAGCCACCTGAATTACACTTTTACAGCTTCACAGCCAATGTGAATCAGTGCAGTTCGAGTTGCAAGGCCTGATTTATAGTTGTAGGAGTGATTTACCCGCAAAGAACTCTATTATAATGCGTTAGATTCAAGTCTACACAAACCGTAGCCTGGAAAAACCCAAGTGCTCCGATGCGAATCAAACCAGTGATGGAGTGAAAGGCCGAACGTGTTTGATTAGGAAAAAACGCATCATGCGAACACATTAAGAGAGTTTTGCATGCTTCAACTACTCCCTTAAGCTGTTGGCTCCCCTTGATTTTTTAATGAATCTTAACTTCGTCTTATTAACTATGACTTTCAAACAAGTCTTTTTAAAATGCCTTGTAAGTAATTGGCAACTTTTCCCTTGAGTCTCATTTTATTATGTGATAGATATGAGCCATAAAACTGCTCACTTTAAGTAAAACCCATTCCATCCAACCCACAGCGCATTTCGGCATTTTCACACGCATGAATAGTGGTTGACGCACTCTTAATTGCTCACTGCCTTTTAATGCGTCGATCTGTCCCAAGAGATGAATTTCGCAGCCAATTGTGGCTGAAAGCTCTAACAGAAATCAGGCAAGGGCGAAATTCCCATTCACAAATGCAAATGCGCTATGCTGTATCGTAGGCGCAGTATTACAAAATTGAAAATGGAAAATTTCTGACGTCTACACAAGCGTTACACCATTTACACAAAAGCGCACTCTACACAAGCACACATATACTTTACTTCACAAACTCCGATTAGCTAACCTAGTGCTCATAACTTCACCACTTTTGCCTCAATTGACTAGAAGAAAAGAAATAGTATATGAATTTACATTCCTTCGGTTCTTCATTGATTGATGTTCCACAGTTCATTGCCTTTGAAAAAAAAATTGTCACCAAGTTAGTCACTGTTTTTTCATACAGGTAGTTTCTACTTTCGGATGTGTGGCAAAATAAAACTCCGGCCTGATATTGGTGGATTTTTAGATGCATGAATTGAAATGAAATGACTTTGAACGCATATTTGAAGCACTCCAAATATTTCATGCTTCAAAACAGGAAAAAAAAATTAGAAGAATCCGACAAATACTAGGGTAATTCAGCATGTATGGTCAAACATATACACATAATTGGTCTTTTCCGAAAAGCACTTTATTTCATAAGTACCTTGAATTTATGTGTAAAATGCTCAGTGCCATCAAAACAAATGTGCTTTTGGTTTGATTCAAAGTTAATAAAACCAGTTGGAATCATTTTTACACCATAGTGCATTTGAAAGAGTCAAAAAACCCGGAGGATGAAAAGCAACTCAATGTTTGACAATAAAACCATAGCTTAATGTGGACTTAAATGGCACATTAAAAATGCACTTGATTCTTAGTCCATAAAAGATGACATAATTTATCCAGGTTAAAATTAAGTCTTGGCAATGTGCCATGAACATTACAAGTAGGCAAGTAATGATTACATGATGCAAAAAAATCCACACACTACGACGATAATCCACACAGGCACTGTCCTCATAGAACGTTTCTCATGGTGAATTCACCTCGAAGGCAACGGGTTTGGGCCACCTGACGTAATAACAGAAAACATAAGAACGCCCCAATCAACTAAGCAATAGGAGTAACCTACAAAAACTAAGTATCTGAGCATATGATACCATTTCCGTCACGTGTTTATTATCCCTGCTGCAACAACTCTGCGTTGGTTCTGCAGAATTATTGCCATACCCAAATGGGTGTTCTGTATTCGGTGCAAACGATCATTCCGAGTTGTAAACGCGACAGTAATTGCTTAAAACAATACAATTGATAAACTTGAGTTTTGTTTATTAGTACTGAAAAGTGCTTTAGAATATAAATAAAGAATTTTGATATTTTGGTTTTAGTTTCTGGCATATTTTGTATTTTGTTGGCAGAGCTCATAAGCTTCAACAGTAGTGTTTGAAATAACAGCAACTTGTAACGGTTGCATTTGTATGTGACTGATTTTAAGAATTTTAGCATTTTTATTGCAGTTTATTTGTTTTTGATTAAAAATGAAGATTAAAATGGTTTAGGGAAAACCAGATGGAAGTAGAGCATCATTAGTAAGTACGTTTCTAGAAAGGATGGGGAAAAATGGATTGATACCCATTCTCTTAAATCTAATGGCGAATTAAAAAGTTTTGGATTATGACTAATAGTGCTAATCAGTTTTTCAAAGCGAAGCTACTTAAACTCTGAATACACGACTTCAGTCGGTCTTTTACTGGCCATGATTCTGTTGCCTTCCGAGTCTTTCCTGAAGTTGAATGGGCTCATGCTTATAGGACAGAAAATGTACTACCGGCGTACATAAGAATTGAAGAGATACTAGCATATCCAGAAGGTTATTCTGTCTGGTTGAAAAACAAAATAGAAGAGGAGCAATGTAGCATTGTGATTGTTTGTTTAACACTTCGTCTTGGTTCGCGGGCACTTAAGGCACTATACCTGAATGTCGTTCATGGCGCGCCTCTCCGTCAACCTTTTGGATTGGCCGTCACAATGCGGTCAGTGCTGCGAGAAAAGAACCCACGAACCAGCTGCACCAACCATGGAATTTGCATGAAACTCAGATGATATCTGACTGCAGCATCACCGATCCCTCTTGATAATCCCACTGCATCTTGTGTTTAGTCCTGTTTGGGGACTGTATTGGGGAAAAAGACAATCTGTAGGCCGTCTCGCATGTTCGTTGCTAGTAGTAAAAATATTGGTTTAAAAGCAGACATTTCATAAAGGAAGGGGATTGAAATAGTTTCGTTGGGGTAAGGCTTCGCATCTACACATTTTTGTCACTTTTTATCACTTCAGTGCTGCCAAGGCATATCCATCTGGGTTCTATGCATCTAGTAGAGAAGTGGAGGAGGTGTTGCGTTTTGCCTAATTGGTAGCTTCATGCAGGAAAGTTCGACAGATTCGTAACGAACTTTTTAATTAGTTCATGGCCGTTGTTGCTACCATTGGTGGGTAGATTCAGATTCTTCTACCCACACCTTATGCTCTTCTGCCATCATGTTAAGATTGAGCTTTTAGCAGTGTACCAGAAATTGGGACCCTACTCTGAAGTAGATGAATACACGAACAGCAGAGACTGAAGAATTCGCACCGATAAATTTAAAATTAAAACAAACATTGTTCTGCTGAATACCCTCTTTTCTTCTTCGAGCGACGTTCTCAGCGCTTTTAATAATCGCTTTTCTGTACTGGCTAATACAATTTAGTTGAGAACTGCGAAACCTCCCATGAGCCAAGATCACGCATCAGACCTTGATTTTTTGAATCAGCAGGGCACTAGATCGGAATGATAGCTATGTGCTCCGTCGAATTAACTGATTGTAATATTTCGTTCTCACTATAAACTTCAGTAAGGTAATTCACCTAATTTGTACTACGCGAGGCTGGAAGATCCTCAGTAGCGAGCCCATTTCGCATATTCTTCGCTATTCGAGAAGACACTTACCTAAAAAGTCATTTAATTAAACGCATTATTCGGCATAACTTTGAAGAATTGAATTCTCTGCTCATTTCTCCTTATGGATTTTCCAATTTCAATACTCCTTAACTATCAGTATCGGTTTTTCAACTACCAGAGATGCGGAGAGCATACCAGCTTCACGAATGACAGTTGAAAGTCGCAAAGATCTGCATAAAACGTAAGGCCACAGTTTTTAACACCCATTTACTCACTGTCAGTAGTTTTTATCTAAGCAGAACTGTAACATGGGGCTTTTTTAGCAATCTTACTGGTAAATTGGCCCTGATCTAATGGAGTGCCTTATAAAATTAGACCACGACAATTTCTCAAGTTATTGCTGTTTCCTTCTCAATGAGTGTATGCAACTGCTTTCTTCAGCTTCTCTTGTCCTATCTTCTTAAATTGCATGCTCGTCTATTCTTTTCCCCTCCCCTCTTTTGTCTTTTCCGCTTGCAGTATTTCGCTACATGGAACAAAGCCTCTGTTTTAACTCCTCCTGTTTCCAATGCCAACCATGAATGTGCTCCGTCAACTCACTCATTCACCCATTCTGAATGATGCTGGGCGCTGCTAACAACTACGACTACGGTTTCGAGGCCTCCTTGGCTTGTGAAGTGCTCGACGCTGATGGCAAACCAGTGAACAAAGTGGTGGAGGATAATTACTCTAGAGATATTACCCGATGCTTCCAAAAAACCATCAAGGTGCTAACCTCAGCAGTGGGCACTCTGATTCTCCTCTGCCTCTACCTTATCGCAGGAGCGTGTCTTTTCCGGTATCTTGAGCAAGGGAATGAGTTGGAGGCCTGCTATTCAACGTACGCACTATACAGGGAGAAGTTAAACACCTCGGTTCTACGAGCCACGGGCATCGTAAACTCGGGCCTGTCGAAGGACGTGGTGGCTATGCAGTTGGAGAACTCACTAATCGATTTTGCGGAGGCGCTGTTTGCTCTCGACTTCCCGCCCAGTCGCAACTGTTCTAATATCCTTGAACCATTCGGATCCAAGTGGAACTGGGTCAATGCACTCTACTTCTGCGCCACTGTTGTCACTACCATTGGTAAGCACTTCAAGAGCTGTGCTGTAGCTCATGCCCAGAGCACGTTTTCAGATTACGATTCAGCGTTTGTAATTAATCACTCGGAATTTGGTTTAAAAAAATAAGGATTTTATACCAAATTTGGTTCCTTGTTATAAATTTTCAGATAATACTTCTGGTACTATTACCTTTCCTTAACATTATAACATTTTTGTGTTTTCTGATTGTAATTAGTAAAATCAGCTTCATATTTTCTTCGCTTTTGCAAATCACTAATCCACTGTCATTCAATCGACACTGCCCAATAAGTGAATCCTTAATCCGGCGTGCCATTCCATTTAGGCCGCCGTATTTCTAGTTATTTTTTATTTGTCATCACTCTAGCGCCCCGATACTGCCCTAAAAATGAAATAAGGTATAACATTTAGGCAGAACATATCTATTCAACATCCAGTAGAGATCGGAGCTACGGGCATGGCCCGGAGACCGGCCCACCCGGCTTAAGTACAAATGGCGGAGACCCATAGTGCCCCCTTCACCAACATGTTATGTATTAAATGTACTAGGCCGAATTCCAATTATCGCTCTTTTATTTATAAATAACTTAAATTATGCTTACATATGGGCTTTTAAATAAAGAATATATCTAGACATCTTAAAAGGGTTTATAGAATATATTGCCTATTCGATAGAAAAGGCTTGCAAATAAAACAATGATGTAGTTTAATTCGTTTATTGGCACCTGCCTTGTAAAATCACCATTAGTGTGCCAGTACCGATTCATTTGCGTACAGTTTGAGCCACACGATTATTGTTGCTCTTTTGCTTATGCCCCCCGAGCGCAAATAAAGATTGTCAACTCAATTCCTTAGATAGCAATCTGAAGCAAGGTTCAAAAGGAGTAACTCGTTAGTTCTACGTGTCCCTGAAATAACAAAATCTAGTAAAAAAATTAAGAGTATCACCCGAATTAAAGGAAAATGAGGGACAAATTTGCCTGCTAATTTGTAATAAACTTACACGGATGTGGTCATGGGAGTTTTGTGAGCCTTGCGAACTCATAAGCACGACCCACTATAAATGTGATGCAGCAGTGTGTTCAACTAGTAGTGCGCTTTCATTTAAATGAAGCTGGACTTTTTGATTGCTTTACCTAATTTTGAGTATATTATCTTTTAAAATGAAATTTACATCCCGGATGTTTATAGGCGAGCAAATAATTTAGAGTACCGATGAGTGAATATTTTTAACTGACCCTTGCATTGAGCATAACGGCATATATCAACAGAATTCAGTAGAGAATTTGTTTATTTTATCCTTACATATAAATAACCTTACATCATTCGTTAATCACTGAAGCTGTCCTTAAATAAACAAAACTGAAATGCGAGCATTTGATACGATTTGCAGGAATCAAATCCTGACTGATTGAAAGAAATGCAACGTCACCTTGCTTTCTGGCTATACTTTTGAATGCAACGAATATGGCAATGAATAGCATCGCCTATAAAATAAATAATCATTATATTGTCGTCACTGTCAAGGCTACGGCCACGTGGCTCCAACAACCCAATGGGGTCGACTGGTGTGCGTGTTCTACTGCATTCTGGGCATTCCTCTGCTGCTCATCTACCTGGGCAGCATCGGTCAGATGCTGGCCTACCTATTCCGCCTCACCTATATGAACATCTGCTGTTGTCGCTGTTTCCGCGATACCTGGATTCGGCGTCGCAACAAACGCCATCTGCGACTCATTCGGCTGCAGGAAGATCTGCGTCGGCACATGGAGTTGCAGGCTAAACTTCGTGGTGAACCGATACCACCGCCCAGGGTTAGTTAGGAGGGCGGAAATTTAAACGCTGGTACTAAGTGATGGGGATGTCAAATCCCTCGAGGATATAAGTTGGATCGAAATGAGTAAACAAGTCTTTTGTGCCTGTTTTGGGTGGTCTTTTAGTTCACTGATTCGATCCAGTAATAAATTTGGTGCTGCCTACATTTTTCCAGTATTTTGCCAAGAAATCCACCTTTTACCACCCACTTCTCTAGCAATAATCCTTACCATTTTTAATATATGGTTAAGCCAAGTAGACTTCCTACTCACAGGGTTTTATTTCCAAAAACAAAACCATTTAATGATTTTGTGCATTGTTAAATGGGCAAAAAATTAACCAGACATAAATATAACTCATGGTCTTGATAATACAGTTACATATTTTCCTTTACATATGTGATTAAATTTGTTGCGTGGGTATAATTTTTTAGGGAACCTTAAAACTAAACATTTCACTGGATTTTAAGAGTGGCGTTTCCAAAGAAATGCGCGATTTTTTGGAAATAGTTACACATGTGACTTCATATGGCTTATTATTTACCAGTCCACCGCTTTGCAAACATAGTAAGCCTTATGGACTTAGCACCCGGGCCTTCTATGAGGTTGGAACAAGTCACACCAATGTTGAACATTTACTATCTGTGTACAGAAAGGTTAGGAGGAAGACCATGCCACCAAAATGGAAGTGTGAAACGCGGCGACTGAAGGGAATACCTAAAGTTTGATTTAACAAAAAAATTCAGATAAAATGGTATTAGTAGCAGTTGGGGTAGATGAATAGAAGTAAAATGTCTCCATCCGCGGTTAAAAGTACGTGAATAATCCGATTAGGTACTGACAATTCTCCCAAAAACTAAAATTTATTCTCGCTTAATTTAATTTCATCAGATTAAAATCATTTTGCCTTTCAACAAAGTTTTCATATAGCTAAGAGAGCGATACCAGCGGGATTGTAAATTAAAGCTCTGCAATGACCTTTCTTTTAGATGACTCCAATGGTATTTGACGATGACTCAGATGAAGACGATGAAGTGCGGGAGATTTATCGCGAGTTTCAAGACACCGAAGATGCTGGGATTCCGATCACCATTGTAATGCTGGTCATCCTGGGCTACGTGACAGTTGGCGCCCTCCTATTCCACATCTGGGAAACCGACTGGACTCCTATCGATGGTGCCTATTTTGCTGTCATCACCATTTCCACCATCGGTTTCGGTGACCTTGTTCCCGGAAACGGTCGTTTCGACAAGGTAAGAAGGCTCATTTAGAATAACTAACCTCACTGATCAGAAAGCAGAGAACCAGAGACAACATAATGACCAATAGCATCGATAAGATATTGAAGTCGAATTGGAAGTATAAGGTATAAATACTAGTTATTTAATTGTAATTTGCATAATAATCGAAAGTGATTTACTGACGGTTACGAGTGAAATCACTTATAACCAGTACTATTAGTATGTACCTGGGGTGAGTCTATGGCTTATTCTGGGTGGATAGGCAACTAAAATGCCAAAAACCGAATGATTTTCGTTATATCATCAAATACCAACCGCGTTTCAGGACCAGACAATTCTATTTTACGTTCGTATAACCTTTAAGTACGAGGACTGCTTTATACCAAGCCCTAGTAGTCGTAGGATTTTAAACTTGTGTAGTCAACATAAAATGTAGGCCGTAAACGAGACCAAAACTACTAATAAAAGTACAACATCCAATTGAGTGATATTGGTTACGGGATTCACGAGAGAACGAAGGAGTTGCATTAGTATTGACTTAACTTTGCACCAAAGGTTTGTGCATAGTTCGTTAGAATGCATCAGCTCAGCATTACGTGTAGGCTCTGACCGCTTGTACTTTTTCTCGTACTGCCTAAGCTACTTTTAATTGGAACAGTTGGACCTATTTTTAAGACAGAAAATGCAACTCTCAGATGTGTTGAGCACCTTAACCTGGTTAGGGTAAAACTTCCTACTTTTTACCTAAGGGATATTTTGACCAATTTCATTTAGTGCTCCGATATAACATGGCCTAGCACATAATGGCTGTGCTTCAAAAATAGTCACTCTAGTTTAAATGCTTTGATGAACAACAATCAGTCTGCACATGGGAGAAAAAGTTATTTGTGAGGATTAGAGCTTATCCTAAAAATTTGATCATAAAAACGGAACAATCTAGTCGGCTCTAACTGCAAGGTCTAATTCAGGCAAAATAGAAATTAAAGACTTTCATAACATGTTAATACTAATTATGTATTAAGTAGAATGCTTCCTCAATAAGTCGCGATAAGTTGAAGGCTATAAATGATCTTTAAAATGAAATTTTCTTAAGCCGGAGACGATCACAGAACTACTAGTGGGAGCACTCTACTGCGTAGTGGGCCTGGCTCTCCTCTCAATGTGTTTTGAGTTGATGAAAGAGGAGTTCGTGGACAAAGTACAATGGATCGGGCAGTCGCTGCGTATTGTGAGTCGGGAGGGCGATAATAAGAAGGGGGAGATTGACGAGGAGACATCTGGGGCGAGGAACTTCAGGGATGACGCAAAGGATGCTTCAGACCACACCATCTCTACTTTTGCCAACAGCGAAATGCCAGATGGGATGGAAGCTACCACAAGCTCCTTGAAGAGCCGTCGTGATAGCCGCCGTCACTCAGGTAACCTTTTACGTCCCGCATCGTCGCAGCTAAGAAAACCCGTCTGCGTGTTGCGCTCGCGTTCTGAACACTGTTCATTACGTTCAAGATCATTGAAGCAGCATCATCAGCTGAGCAGACCTACCTCCATAAATAGTGCAAAAAAGGACGAAAAAACCGCCAGTGGTGCTGATGATTATAAGGACTTTGAAATGGATACGGGTGGTGAAGATAACGACGCCTTTGGAGGCGATATGACTGCGGAGGAGGATGAGGGGGAGAACGAAGTTTTGACGAGGGACTAGACTTTGACAAGGACGCTTCGACAAACCTCCTAACTGCAATAAGCACTCTCCCGATGCGCCATATACACTGTATCACATCCATACACGCACAGAATCGGAGTTTTACTTTATCATTTGCTTGTGCCGTTTCAAAATGCTTTGTGAATTAAGCTAACATAACACTTCTACTGATTTACTTTAAACTCTACTCTGAGGATAAGCTAAAGGCCAAATATTTACTAACTATTGGGATAGGTGCCATTCACCTAAACCGCCTAAAACGGATTAATAAAAGCAAATTAATATTCACAATCGCACGAACTCGTGTTTAAAACACTACAAAACACACCTTCCCACTTTTGTTCCGGGTGCTCCTGAGCAGATCTAAATGTTTTAACCCCGACTCCATTTCATTGTTAGCATAACTTTCCTTTGGCCTAATTACAATAATTGTCTCAACTTGAAATTGGAGGTGTTTCTTAAACTTGCATCTAACGCATTACCTTGACAACATGGTGCTATGTAACATGAGGATTGCCGTTTCAACAGCTGGTTCCAGTCTTAATTACGAGTCACATAGGAGATTCCAATTGAAACCAAGATGAACGATTAAGCCGAAGGCAGTAGCGGAATTGGCAGGGACAATTTAAAACACAACAAGTCTCAGACTCCGTGCGGTCTCCACCACAACAATTTCAGATCCTCTGAGGTAGATCAACAAGGTAAGGGAGATGAACGACTCCCGGTATCACTGACAAACTAATGACCCTGGTTACAATATGGTTAAAATAAGTTATAGTCATCTGACAGCATAATTTCAGCCAGAACCACCCACTAAAGGTTCAGAAGATCTGGTCGACCAAAGAAAGGAACAATACTAACTTGAAGTAGCCAAGCGGTCAATGAAGACATGACAACATTAGACCACACAACACTTTGGGTTTCCCCGGCTAGATCTCGTACCAACGGCCACCAGGTCAGACTGGAAAGCTATGCATTACAGCCGCTTCAACTCAATAGGGTTTAAGAAGCAGCCCTCTCACCATATTTGCAGACATCACAAAAAATCACCACTGCGACTGCGCTCCAATTTGCAAATAAGCAAGTCTTTATTCCAAAATCACGTGAGTTAACTCCCACGAATCACCCTTAAATGTCATACAAGATAAGAGACCAGGCGGCCTCTTTCCAATAGAATGCCGTGACGGTGGAAGTCTATAACCTACAGTGACGGCAGTACGTGAACAACGGGAACTCCCAACGTTATCGACCATCCCCGTTCAGTAGCGTAATCGCAGTACGAAAATCCCCGCTAACGATTCCCCATCCGTAGACCTGAGAAGTCAACAAAATCCGATCGGCTCTTTTATTCTGCTCTCTAATGTCACCTATTTACAAGAACTCCTTCGGGCCACCGGCTGTAAGGACGGCGAAGAACTTGACACGTGGGCCCTCCTCCAAACACTTTTCAGCCCGCCACCGTAGCGAAGGCAATCGTGAGCAGTCGCCCAGCTTCGCCTCAAATTCCATGTAGAGGTGCCAAAATTCTAGGCAGTAAAAGTGTACACTCGCTCATATAATTTTTATACCGGAAAGAGCATGTACATCTGACTAGTTCTAACCGTGTGTGAACCCAACGTTAATCAGACTCATTTGCGATTTACTGATCGGAGAAATCTAACAGGTAAATTGCATTAGATACATTAACAGCTTAAGAAGCGCAGTATGCCAGTTTAGTGATCAAGTGTAATTTGTTTCAGGTTCACCCTGATTACACAAAAACTGCCAACGCCCTAAAATCCCTCGGGTTTTTGCAACAAATCCGTTTGATCTTCCATTTGTTATACCAATCGAAAAGGAAGCGGCATCTCCAGTCCAAGGAGGCATCATCTGATGTAATATTAAAACTTTGCGAAGCCTACTCGGAGAATATTTCGGATTCTGAAGGGATTTTATGTTACTTAAGTCCGATCCGTTTTCCCTGAGTGTTAAAAAGGATGATAGAATAAATCACATTTCGCGTTGATGGCTCTTACTTTTGTAGGGGCCTATCGTTCCCAATGCTTAAGGAAACTGCTTATCGAGGAAACATGCATAAATTCAAGTGCCGCAAACTAGAAACGGCTTAGGGTAGAGGTGGCCATCTGATTAATTATTGTTATTTGAGAATTTCCACCCTGACAGGTAACCTTAACCTCGGAGACACAAATTGGGACCAACACATTGATTGGCTAACCGTAATGGTAGATGCGGATACATTTTAACTTCTTCCTAATTGCTAGTAGCTAGACTCCATCAAACGTAAATAAAAAGGGAGAAGTTGAACGTCATCAAGTAAACATAAGAGTGCAAGGTATTGCCCGATTACCGGGCACTTTAGAGCCCCAGTTGGAGGCGGCCAAGGTGTCCATTAGGGCTCTCGTTTTGCGAACGTGCGCCTCCTGCTTAAGACGGAATTCCTGGTAAGCGCGCACCACCTCCGTCACATCCTCCTTTGACGTCGTCGCTGTATTGGTCGGCTGGGTTGACTTGTACAGCATCCTAGCCACCACAAGGATGTAGATGCGTGCAGTGAGGAGACGCATCCACCAGGGGTCGGCAGAGGGATCGGCTACCCGGAGGAGATCGTTGGAACCGCCAGGCGCGTGATACCAGGTGTCCCAAGACTCCAACGCAGCCTCCACGCCTTCGGCATCGAGGAGACGCATTAGCTCACTGTGACGTTGCACCGCTGAGGCAGCAATATCCTCTGTCAGCGGCGCTGTGGCGTGCGCCCTTTCAGTGATCTAACAAGATCAGACCCCTTACACTTGTAAACCGATTGTAAACCACCCTCGTTTTTTTCGTTATACTGAAAGTTATTTTCCCATAAGCAGGAGATGGAGGAGAATCAGATACCATAGAAAAGGAATAACAGCGGAAAATGGGGTGTAAGACTGCATTAATGTTCAGCCCTTGTTAATTTATCCAATAAAACAAATCGGATGGCAAGTTATCGGCCAACGAGAGGCAGATGCAGTTGGCATTTCGACAAAAAATTTACAGATAAAACTAGAATTGTGAAAGCCAAGAAACCAGAATGAGTTTGGACATGAGCCACACTTAAGCCGGGTCTCTACAATCCGTTAGTCCAAAACTCCGATTAGTTATATTCAGTAACTGATTTTCTAATGGTCACCAAAATTTAAGCAAGTAAATAAAGCCATGTCAAAGCTAGGACGGCTCACTTTTCAAGAAGACGGAACTTCAATTTTGGATCATGTACGCCTGCCTGGATTTTACGAGTGAAAAGCAGCATTTCAAAAGGTGAAAAACCACATCATACCTATTCATTCTCAACCAGTAATCATTAAGCTTGCGTAAGAAATGAGCTATTGACCCAGGAACTCAGCTATCGTTGCGCTGACTACGTTTGAGTCGCATGAGTTAAAGGCCAACCTAACGCAAATTGAGCAAAACAATGAAGAAATATTTTTGTCAAGTAAAAATGCTGGCACGAGACTCAACAAATGGGTTAATTACTATCAACAACTAACACACATTCAAGCATATAGGGCAAATTAAAATTGTGGGGAGATAAAACGTTAAAATAGCAATGTTAACGTATTTTTATTTTATTAAACCTGTCCATTTGGAATACGAATGGACAAAATGAGTTAAAATTTAAGCGATCAAACAAGAATATGTGTTTCACTGCAATTTAAATGAGTTGCGAAAATTGTCCACATTTTGAACAATAAACCTTAACTTGGATTAAGCTAATACGACTATGCGAAAGGAATAAAATAAGCAAAGTGAATTAAATGATGCTTATTGGTAAAACGTTAATCAATATGCACTTCGGTGTTCAAAAAATGAAAATCCAGTTTTACAACGGGAGTGAAGAAAGTTACCCATATTCTCAATGAAAGGCGCAAAATAGGCTTTATGCAATCATGGTGGGCCGTGATTGGCGATAAACAAAGAAAGGGGTTTTGCGAAAACATTTGTTGCAGAATCCCAAAGTTTAATGGTAATTAACATCCAGTCACAAGGAACTTTTGCTTAATGGGTATCGTCCCAACATTGAGTGATGTCTCGTACCTTGTTTACCGGTAGCCTAAGGTGCGATTTACCTAACTTAATATCAGGCATTAAAACCTGACCTCAAGATGGGAAATATTTCAGTAGATGAAAAGTTTATTTAGATTTATAAAAAAGCAACTATCTTGACAATTTGGATAAAACGATTATTGGCTGTTGGGCGACAGGACGACAATCCCGAAATTGGAATAAATGCATAATGCTGGAGGGTCATAGCAACAGAACAATAAGGGTACGTGCCAAAACACGACTAAGTAGGAAACCATAGTAACGTAAAGGCTTTTACAAAATGCGAACATTACTAAGTGCAAACAAGTGACAATAAGCACACGAACCGTTTGTCCCATCTTCACTTTAGTCGCTTCAGATGTAAGCAGCTCCTTCTGCCTAAAATTTAACAAAGCGTCACTTAGTGTTTTTGAAATGGGGTGCGAGGTTCTCGTAACAGAAAGTATGCCCCATAATTCTCTTAAATAATGGTGCTATTCAGGATTGTACTTTAAAACGAAGTCGCCAGTTAACCAGCAATAAGGTTACCTATTTGATAACTTCCTCATTATAGCTTTGTCGGTGAAGGAAGAAAATTTCTTGGCGATTTCCAAAGCATCCGCCAAATCATTTGAATTAGCACTAGAGAATGCGGAGAAGCGTTCAAGCACCAAATTGAACGTTTCACCAGACTTGACAGAGTCCACATCCTCAGTTACCTCATTCATCTATTGAAGAAACAAGGTACACTACGCATGTATTTTAAGTAACATGTATAATGGTATTGGTAGCAAAAGGAAATGATCTAAATGAATTAGATTTCTTAAAATGGCAAATTAAGAAATTGAAGGTCCAAATGGATAAGAATATACATTTAGTATAGAAAAAACAGACGCGAGTTGCCAATTTTAGGTAGTGTGGAGAATGTGGAGTACTACATGAATCCCCGAAACAAGCAAGCTGTCGCCAAATCGATGTCGAGATGCTGAGGATGCCCGCAACCCCCTCATCTAATCGTTAACGCGTTTGCATTCCTTACTTCTCGTTGCTTGTTCATATACATTTATCAACAAAGCCATATACTCTAAGGTCTTTACTGATTACCAGGACTGGAGTTCGATGAGATCCAAGTCGCCCCCGCATACAACTTCGGTTTGTAGCAAAAGAGCCTCATGAACGCGGGCGAAAAGCAAATTCAAGAACATAAGAACGTCCTCGCAATAACTTCAGCTGGATTCAACCCCATTCAAAAAACTAGGCATTACGGTGGTAAAAGCCAGTAAATAAAACTGCAACGTTACCACAAATTGGGACTACCTTCCAAGAATAACTTCGCTTCTAATGCATGCATAAACATTTTGCGGTTAAAATACATAATGGGACTTACTATAACACTATGTCTCCTACTATCCGATTTATGCCAAAAACTGCGTTTCTAAAGGAAGAAATTGTGTAAACGATACCTGAAACAGCCTAACTCTTGAAACACCCCAAGGCATCTGAGATGAACTGTTAGACATTTATCAAAATGACCAAAAACTCCTAGGACCAATCTAATCTTTTGTGAAAATCAAAAGCGCTGTATTTTAATCACAGCATGAGACCAACCTCCGATATACAAACTCACAAAAGCCACAGCATCCTCTCTCTCCGACTCCTTCGCCTTCCGCATATTTCGGTACCGTCCCATTATTTTTCTGCTAGCAGAGGCTTCACCTTCCAGCTCGTCCTTCGCCATTTGATGTCTATTGGCAACACGCTTTTTGAAGAAGTCAGCGGCCAAACCCTCCAGTTTGAGGAGTTCAAGGAGGAGGAAGACAGAATTTTCGTTGAAGGCAAGGCCCTGAGTCAAGAGACGTCGAGCCTCGCGTAGCCCACGTAAGTGGGTGCGATCCCACGCCAGGTGAACGGAGCGATTAATTGACTCAAGCAGTTTGTGCAAATGAAGAGTCTCCAAACCTTTTAAAGCATGGAAACAGTCTCAAGCGCATGGGGACACTGAGTTATGAAGAACGCAGGCAATGGGCACCCATAATCTTCCGATATCGCAAGTTTTTAAAAAAAAATCTAGTGGTCTAAAGAAAGTACATTACAAATAAAGGGGAACTCGCTGTACTGAAATTACTGCATTTACTTAATAGAGTTCAGTTCAAGAAAAAGCAAATGTAGTCCAATTCATAACGGTCGATCATTACACATATAGAAAATTGTATGCAAACTATCTAATACGAAGATATTTTGCCGTTATGAGGTTATGGCGAAATGGTTATCAGCCGCACTTGAAGTATTCCTCTCTCCTTAAAACAGAATGCATACCTAGTTTTAACAAACATTTTTAGAAAACCGAAACACATTATTACCATTCTAGAGGACTCCACAGACATGAGCTAACAACACTTAAACAGCCCCAACAACAATTCTTAACGAAATGCACAACTGCAGTGGAACAAAGGCTGAAATCCTCAGGATACAAAAAAGCAGTTTTAAGGCTGCGCAGGCACTTAGTCTAAATTCTAATGTTTAAATCCCGCATTTATTTTACTTAAAAAGGGTAATCCAATTAAAATTTAGGACAACGGTTGAAAAAACTAAAATGAATTCGATAAACCTAAACACCCGCGAAGGATTGTTTCGAACACAACACAGGTGAAAACCATCTACTAGGCGTGTAATAGGGAAAGCAAAAACTGTAGCATGAAATTTACCATATCCGATAAATGGGAAAATTGATATCAAAACACTTATCAGAAATGTTGAGAAAGAGCAACCCAAAGACGCATTCGAAAGATAATGATAAAATACAGATTTAAGCACGGGCAAACAATTGTAAGCTTGGAATGTTATTGCAGACGCCTAGCAAAAGACAAGTGTTAGGCATCAAGAATGTTTAGAAGTACAAAATAAGCATCTTCTGTACAAAAAATGAGGCAGGAATCTGTCACAAACTTACGTAATGCTACTCCTTCCTGTGCGCACGTGGGGCTTTTGCGGAGCCGTTTCACTTTCTTTATGGCCATTGTGAGTGCATGCCTTTCGGTTTTGAGCTTTGCCAGGATTGCGCGGGCCTGAGCACGAGCACCTTCATTTAAGTGGAACGATGCGGCGGCCGCCCACAAACGCGGATCAGTTCGACCATGAACCTGCAGGATTCGCTCCCAAAGGCGGGTGACAGCCATATGACGGCCAAGCTTCCGATTAAATAGCAAGAACCGCATCCAAACATCAATGTGAGACTGAAATCTGTAGCAAGTTTGCTGTAGGGCATTATAATGAGTCTGATGAGATGAATTACCCTATGGAGTCGAACCAGCCGAGTAATGATTGATCTCTCGATCTCGTCCTTGAATCGGAAATCCATAGTCTTTTGGCGCCGAATGATAACAAGTCGTAGAATACCAAGTTCTGCTGCAATGTACGACTCGTAGTCAGAGAGTCGTTTATTGCGCTTTTGAATACTATATTCATGATGTCTCCTAAGGCGAACAACTTCTCTGAAATAGCCAATAGTTTACTTTCTGGTAGAAAGGTGTACCTCAGTTCTGCTTCGTTGAAAAGCTTTGCTCGGCGAATATGTACAATCTCTGGTAAACTATCCTCAACATTACGTTCGACAACCTCAGCCATGGGAAGACTTGAAATAGGCCGCGGGGGTCGATAATAGCAGCATTTGTAATTCACTCTAATAAAACTGGTGCAGAGAATAATATGATCAAGAAAAACCGGTTTTCTAAGAAATGATAGAAATAACTTACTGTGGGTCTCAAAGGCTAAGCAGTTTTGGAGTAACGATTGTGTTTGTCAGGTAGTAATAAAGATTTAAAATATCCGTCTTTTATCAACTAAATTTGCAAAAACTTCACCAAAACAAGAAAAGCAATTTTTAAAAGGCAGCTGTAGGCGTTGGTGTAAAATGTGTGAATTTTAAACGACGATTAGGCAGCAGAAGCACTGCCATATAACTTAATGTGTGAATTTTTCAGAGGCATACCTAAAAAGAACAAATTCTTTATGTATATAACAATAATGGCTCGTATATCGCGGTTTTAGAGAGTTTGCTTTAAACCTACCAAAAACTGTTCCTTTTTTGAACCCAATTTTGCATCACGGTTGATTGATCGTAAAAGCATTAGTTTTTTAGCAGCTTGTTCGAATTAAGTAGATTACGTCGGTCCTTGAACTTCCTCAAACTGCACTCCTGCTCTTAGGTATCCTCTTCATTCCATATCAGTACTCCCAGCCCTTTCGTACATTATTTATTTTTTTCTACCATCCTTCCGTGACCTCTTATGACTGTGGGATAGACTCGGGACACACGAAGGTTGTCTGCTGCAAGCAAACTCGATTTTTATCGATGACTGCTAAATAATCCCTAGCCAGAAAACCTGTGACGATTATTAATCAAATGTTTGAAAATGATTTTTACACCCGACAATACCCTATTCCCGTGGTATCCAGAAAAGCTATTACAAAATGTATTTGTAGCGTCCCGAGACTCCCTGAAAACAAAAGAAGAAACAATACTCGGGCAGAATACATATGTTTAGTACGGAGAAGGTGTCTGGGCTATTGGCATGGCCCAAAAGGCCAGCCCACCCAGCGAGGTGCAAGAGGCTACTTCAAAGTACGAAAGTGGCGCCTCACCAGAACCGAGGGATAAACTAATATCGCATTACATAATAATAGAAGCATCGACTTATCTAAAATGTTAATTAAAGAGGTCTCTACCGCGCCCATATAAAGACATTAATTATCTAGTCAAGTGACAATTCCTCCAAAATTTACTAGCTGGGTAGGACTTAGAAAGCAATGCGACTGGACTGCACTGAGGCGGGATGAAGATGCAAGGAGGAGTATTATCTTCACGGAGCTATTCTAAAGCTCACCTCTCATTAAGTCACTCTGCTTTCAGGTCAGTAACCTAACGACCAGTAATGAGCATACGTCATTTAGTCTTTGTCAGAATGGAAACAGCGCATTTTTCCTCCTCCAGTACGATTTTCTAACAGGACCGAGCACTAGGCTTGGTGGAATTCCCTTGACACACCAGTGATGTTAAGCTTGAATATTCTATTTGCACGTAAGTTTTATGATTAACACAAGTATCTTATAAAAGATCTTTTTTAAGCTTTAACTACGCTATGGTGGCTGGGGCAAGAGGTTAACCGATGGGAGCGCCTGGGACGACCCTCAAAGGGAGATAGGAGTTTTATGGTAAGTTGATGATTTGACAAACTCTGTACTTAGTGAAACGGCAACTTAAGTTTTTGCCAGCTTTAGGTCTTCCTAATAGCCTGGTTTCCAGTCCATGCCAATAACATTCCAGCCCTCATTACGTTGGATTTACTACTCTCACTTCCTACAACCTTAGGAGGAATTTTAATAGACTACATACTATAATAAGCAAGTATAAAACTCATTTTGCTTCTTGGCTACAGGCGGTTGAGAAGAACTTATTATTTACCATTTTAACTATGTTTCTGATTTCGCACTTTCTTGTGCTTTTGCTAGACAGTTTACCCTCATTATCTCGTTTCTTTGATTATAATAATGTTGTGCTCTTTTGTTCTATATTTAAATGCAACCTACTTTGCTGGCACCATTTGTTTATAATATTACGCTGTTTGGTAGCAGCTTGAAATAATTGGGCTTATTTTTGGTTTCGCCCTGTGTCTGCCGCCTGTCCCTCCTTAGTAGTAGGCTTTTATTTGTTACTGTGTTTATAAATACTGACATCACTCGTTAACTGTGACTGCGCTATATTCGTCACCGTTAATCCCATTTTTGTATGTTACAGCTTTGGCTTGCGGCTCTGTTGACCCATTAACGGTGCAAAATTATAGCCAATTTAATGATACTGTTTTAGGCGGTTTTCGACTCCTTTACATTATGATTGTCCATCTCATGAGTTAATTCTGCCAAAATGCATGTTTTTGTGCAGTGCCATGACCGGATGTATTTGCGAGCATCTTAGCTGCATTGCACATTTAAATATTTTTTATGTTTGCACTGTTAATCATAACTTTTAACTGGATTCACGTAACTTCTTATTACAAGCATATACGGCAAGTTATTATCGGGCGTTCTGTGTGGCAATCTTGGTTCACGTTCTAAATCGTACTTTTATTATGGATGTGATCGTGTATACTGTGGTGTCTAGTCGACTACTGCTTTTTTTGCGCTGATTTTACTTTTCTTTGCATAGAAAAGCAACTAACAGGTCGTAGTTAAAGACCATTTATCACAACCCTTGCAAGGTGGACTGCACTTTTAAAAACAATTTTATGTGAAGATTCGTATATATGGCAGCGTTAAGCATGCTTCTCCATCCGCTGTAAATAGCAAAAATCCTTGTCTGTAGGCGATCTGAAGCAAGCACTTTGCCCTTTTGTCGGAATTATAATCTTCCTTGCGTTGGTATTCGATGCTGGTCACCTGGTTATCTTGAAAATTGTAGGAATTTAGTGTTTAGACTTCGCTTTTTCACCACCACTTTGATCTGATCTTATGGGCTTACTCTGACGAAGAGGAATTCTAGTTTTACCCCAGTGCAAGCACATTTGTGCTCACAAATACCTTAGTCCGCTCATTATCTTTATACTTCGCAGTGGTCTCAGCTACTGTCTATTCAGTTCGGTAGTAGGTTTCTTTCGAATTCTAATTATTCATGAAACGTACGCGTTGTGATGTCTGACCGTTCCTGACACCTTTTTTTCCTTCAAGGGTTAAATTAATTGGAGGCCTTTAAACCTATGCCAACTTCCTAGTGTTTGAGTCATTTTAGCACGGACTTTCACATCACTAGCTCCCAAAATTAGATTCAGTTTAACCAATATTTTTACGCTACCTTATGACTTTCTGCGTACTGCGCTGATTTTGTTAACCCCGCTTTGTACGCTACTCATCTATCCTTGTTTGAAGAGCACACTTCATATGTGCATTAGTCTATGCTATCTAGGTTTATGCACATACCTCCATTCATTATTTTCGTGGACCTTTTCTAACCATTTCACTTTTCTCTAGCTGAAATCTTTTATCATGCAGATAGTATGTAACCTTTACAGAATTAAGCATAATTTCATCTCTACTGCATCAGTTTGCAAGTATTTTAGACTTGGAAAATCACATTGAGTCTACATGAATGCTACGGACATCTAACTCGGTAGTACTTTGGAAGAAATTGGCTTTTTGGTCACGTTAAACTACAAGTAAATTTTGTACGCAAATGCTGCAAGGTTTACACGAGTACTGATTATTTCATGTACTCCCCTTGTGTACAGTATGTGATCATTCATCTATTTGTCCTCCTATTTAAACCACCAGGCCGACATCGGATTGTGTTTGGGCATGCACCGAAAGTGCATTCCGCGTCTTCGTTTGTGGAAAAAAGTGATGTCCCTCATAAATGTCGCTTGAGTAATAAGTCCTCGCATTACTCACGCTAAACATATTAATGGGATTGTTTGAACTCATTCTGTTGGATGAACTGGAATGAATGAGCTGAGGAGATTTACGATATTCCTCTGGTATAATCAGATTATTTTATTAAAATTAAACGAGCGAAATGCCTTCATTAAAACTTTTTTGCTTAAGAGATTACGATAAAACAAGTGCAACAATCATATTCTTTATGTAGGTGGTTGTCGACTTTTCTGGTTTAACGACATGTTGATTGCCTGTAGATGACCTTAATTAGTTTACCTGTCGTGTCAGCTGCTCTTCTATTATCACTAATAGACATTTGGGACCTCAGTAAGGCTCAAAGTGAGGTAGAATCTCATGTGGTCTTGGTTCTTATCGGTTTAATTCCTTTCCATGTAAATGTAAAACGTCCTTGATGGAGCTAAAGACCACTCAGCGATTCCGCGTGCATGAAGGTTAAATAAGTCAAATTTTCGATAAGCCTACACTAATTTCTAACTTCGCTAACATATGATTCCCGTTTTTAAAAACGTTTGACCGTTAATTCAAGGCGATTCACTCTAGGGGATGAGTTGGCTTTGTTCGCTTCTCGATTCAATACTTGGAGTATGCAATTGCTCTAACAGCCAATTAGCTACCCTTTAAAAATTTGTTTTTGACCGAAGATGATCTGTATTGCTGTCTTTGCTCAAAATTTATCTAATGGAAGTTATGATTGCGATTCGCTTCATGATACTTTTGATCACATAGTCAGTAGAGGCAGTAATCTTAGCCTGTTTTAGGCTAAAGTAAAGCACTTTGGAAAATTTCCTTGACTCAGCAAATACTAAAGTCGATTTCCATACATCTAGTAAGGAGTTCTTGGAATTAGCACACCCATTCAAACTAAAAAAAACTTATTTTGAAACCTACCTTCTCCAATAGCCATATTTTGCCGACAATTTTTAGATTAATGATCGGTTCTTTGTAACAAGCCTCTAACCCAAGCTCACATTTCCTAGGTTGCAGGAAAGCTCCCAATGAGTTCGCTCTTCAGTCATTTGACAAAGTTGTCCCTTAGTAAGTTATGCGTTTTTTTCGCACACGTGCATGGTTTTTTTCCTTCTACATATTTTTTGCTCGAAAGTCCCTGTCGTGCTCATAAAAAATGCCATTTTGCGCGGATTCTTGACCGAAGGTTCTTCCTCCTCTCTGTAATAATTTGTATATGATAGTTGCAGCATCTCAAGTACGGTGCCTATTATTCACCTTGTCAAAAGGTGAGCTTTTTGGCACTTTTCCAATGGATGGGGATTTTCCTGGATTTGTCAGTTTGGCTGTTCAAACAAAGGTTTTTTTCGTTTCGATTATAACTTCATGAACGATGCAGATTCTATTGTTTGCTTTTTTATGTCTTACAAGAGCGTAAAAATGACGTTCTAGGTCAGTGATGTTGATCGCGCAGTTATGTACGCATGGAGTATACATTTACCGAGTTGTCCCAATGACACGGCCAACCCGTCGTACCAGAACTATCTGAGGAGCCGTTAGTGAGATATACCAGCCTAAATTCAGACTTACTATCAGCTTAGGGAAGAAATAGGATAAAAATAGCAAAGGCAGTATGGGCGTAGCTCTAAGCTACCACCAAGGTAGTCAGTCACGGAATGCCAACAAAATCCGCGTGATCAGGAACAAAAGTAAAGTGGATAGCATTCTGCTATATCGACTATCTCCTCTTCTGTTGAGCACCATCTTTGTCCTTCCCTCCCTTACTCTTGGGTCGTGTTTTGACCACCAGTAAAGCAGAAAGGATTGCAAGATTCCTCATCTCGCATAGGAAATGGTTTTAAATTCGACCTACGTTTTGAAAATTTATCTGCTTTGTTTTGGTGAAGGTTGATTACTATTCTACGGCGATTACATTATGTTGATCACCTTTTGTGTGGTGCTTGCTCAAAAGCAAAGCCATCCAGTAAAGCGTATAACGCCAAGTAGATGTGTTTTTTTTTCTATTAATTCACCCTTCTCCACGCACTGCTCAGTCGCCTCTCACGCAGCTCGTAGTCTGACGTTTGAGATTTTGCCTCACTCAAATATAGCGTTCCACTTTTAACCAGTTTTGTTTCGAAATTTGGTGTCCTCTCAACTAATCTGTTTAGAATTTTCTAAAAGTTCGGCAGCTACAACAGATACATTTCAGTTGTACTTGATGTAATGCCTAATTTAGAAAATGGTTGTTTTGCAATAGATTTGCTTATCGTTGTCAATGTAGCATCCGATATGTGAGGCACTTTCCGAAATCAGGTTGATTATCAACTAACAGAAGGAATGAGAGATCACCTTCATGGATGACAGGGGTGAGGTTTCGCGCCGTTATCACGGTATCTCAGTCGCAGGAGGCTAGAAGTTATATCCAATAACGTTCTATTATAATAGGATCGGCACTTTCAACTCTGTGATCCGACGATCGTCGCAATCGATTTTTGCTATTTTCCAGGCAGGAGTAGAGTGGGGTAGAGCTAAGAAAAACAACCTGTGCCGTTGGGAATCAGTGTGATCTTTCAGATTGTCAATCCCACCTGAATTATCCCTGAAGGCGTTTTGAGAAGCAACGGTTAGGATAGATAATTATCGTTAACGTACAGAGGGGTATTAATGGAACTCCACGTTTCTAACCTAATAACCGAACCGAGTGCGACTAGAGGGGCGTAAATGGTAATACGCGATTAAAACAAATACTGTTGCACTACGGTATTTTCTCGAAGGCTTGAAATTTGACTGGAAGACTAGTTCCACCTGTGTCTGGTGTTTGACATCTGTTCAGATGGCAAACTGATGAAGTACGGCTCACTGGCCTTTCTGACGCTGCAGAATGTATTGCTGGTGCTACTCTCGCGCTACGTGCGAGCACGCCCAGGCGATATGTTCATATCTTCTACTGCGGTAACCATGAGTGAAGCAGTGAAGCTGGTAGTGTGCGTGGGTCTCGTGTGGCTGGTGGAAGAGGGCGGCAGTGTGCGCGGCTTCGCTTCCAACCTTCACACCAACCTCTTCTGCGATTGGCGCGATAATCTTCTCATCTGTGTGCCCGGCGTCATGTATGCCATACAGAACAATCTCATCTACTTGGCTGTCTCTCATCTCAATCCCAGTGTCTTCCAGGTGCGTCTCTCTGCCTATACATCACCGTCTCCTTCCTCCCTTCCACTGACTCGGTCTCTGTCTGTGGCTAGTCGGTCGTTTGCATTTGTAATCTTATGTAACACCTTTTGTTCGTCCTGCATCTCTCTGCGGCTGCCAGATTTCCGACTTACCTCCAAAGTCTTCAGTACCGCCTGGACGATCTTTTTGGATTTGAAGTGATCCCTGATACTGGTTTGCGCTTTACTTTTTTGTCCATGTTTTGATCTGTTTATTCAGGAGATCTTCTGGATATAATTCTATATCTGTCTAATGATTCTTTTGCGCCAAAACTTTTCCAAATTCCATAGATCCACGCACGTTAACGAGTGCTACTGACTTTCAGGTCGTCCAATGCTCCGTTTGGTCATTCTATCGTCGATTATTTACGCCGTCGTCCCTATGTATTGTGTGCTTGAAATTTGTCTCTTACACAAGTTTGGGAGTGTCGGGATCTAGGTACGTTGGTCCACATTCCGCGTCCTTTTTGCTGTCTACCTATTCACTGTTGGTGCTTAGTCTGGTCGATTGCCTAGATTCGGTTACATATCTAGTCAATCACTCTTGGTTGTTGGAAGTTAGTTCAGTTCTATCAATTCCACGGACTTCCAGTTACCTCTCCTCCGCTGTTTCCATCGGAAACCAGCACTTTTATTTCGCGTTCCAACACGAGTTTTTTAGCATATCTCTTCGACTCTGTTTGACTATTTGTTTCCTTGCGATCTTTGTATGATGACTCAACCCATTTCTAGGGCCTATAAGATCATTGGGTTCCGTATGTATATTGTACAATAACCACTAGTGTAAAAATACTTCTATGTGAAATCGGATTTGTTATACGACATTCCACTTTCCCTGTTTATGGCAAACGCGTGGAAGATCTTTCGGACTGACTTGTCCTTTATACAGCGATACTATCTTGTGAAGTGGATTATCCAATTGAAGGTCCCTTGCTCCACCTTTGTCGCTTGTGTAGTTAACGTCATTCACTACTAACGTTTCTCAAGGTTCAACATGCCATGTCTAACAATTTGACCTGATTTCAACGTTCTTTGTGGCATCAAGGGTCATTTTTGAGTATTTAGATACCGGTGAGCGTCTCTCAATTTGTAGTCATAGTCCAAATTCCCGTATATAGCCACCCTCTTACCCAAAGCTACCAACTTTCAAAAGTCTCTCTGATTAGTCAATCCATTCTTTCGTCTGTCTCTTCTATCGTCGCCTTACAACCCAGTCCCACGTTTGTCTTTTAGGTCCCTCCAAACGCCTTTCTGGGTTTTGTTTGAGGACTTACACTCTTTTCTGAGCCTTTGGCAGTGTTTGAGGGACCTTGAAGGCTCAAATTCACCCCTGATACAACAGTAGCAGATTGTGATTAAATAGAACATCTGAACAAACATGTTGCTCCGTCTTTGACGTTTGTGCCGCTGACATTCTATCTACTGCTGACGGTTATCAGCTCCCGGGTTGTTTTAATGTCTGCTTCTCAGCTATTAATAACGTATATACATTTGCAATGAGTTTTTGAACTTAGGCATCATCCAACTTATTGCGTACAAAATTCACACAGTAACCACAGCTTCGGCCTTTTCTTTAAATGTGTCTGTGCGCCTTAAAATAGTTTTCTTACATTTTTTTATGAAATTCCCCAAGGTTGTAGTGCAAGTAATCTTTTAATGGACACTCGAAATAGGTGTCGTTGTTTCGAATTTGGTCATGCCCCCTTGACCAAACGCTTTGGCTCTGATGCTTGCATATTGTGACGACGATCTTCCTCTTGTTCATTTTCCTCAAACTCTTATTGTAATCAAACTCGACCCGCCTGAGAAGTTTCCTCACTAGAGATTAACTTGAAGTCAAGTGCATAAAATATTAATATTGCATGTTGAATGGATACCTCTCTGCCATCCTTAGTGTAGCTAAAGCGATAAATGTTGTGCCCAACAAAAAGTTTGTCGTTTGTAAATTCGTGAGGTTATCTTATGCCATTTAAACTGTTAAGAAGGGGGTTAGTTTTCCAGTATTTATATTTGATTTTAGGTGACATACCAATTAAAAGTGTTTACAACCGTCCTCTTCTTCCGCGTTCTCCTCCACCGTGTGTTGACTTCGAAGCATTGGATCGCACTTTCTCTCCTCTTCGTGGGTGTGGTCACCGCTCAAGTCGACCCCGGCAACAGTGCCAAGACTTTGGAGGGACTGGAGCAGAAGCCTTTCTTCGGTCTGATCTGCGTCATCACTGCCTGTGTGCTCTCCGGTTTCTCGGGGGTTTTCTTCGAGCTGGTACTCAAGTCCACTCAGAAGACTATCGTGATGCGGAACATCCAACTCGCCTTCTGCGGCATCTTCGCCAGTCTCGCACAGGCTTACTTTCAAGAGAGAGAGGTCATCTTCAACCACGGCTTCCTATTTGGCTACGACGGCTACGTGTGGGCGGTCATCCTAGTCCAGTCAGTGGGCGGATTGCTGGTAGCCGCGGTGGTGCGCTACGCGGACAATATCCTCAAGACATTTGCAACTTCGGTGGCCATTGTACTCACCCTTGTGGCCTCGGTTTTGCTCTTTGGCACGCCCCTGACGGTGCATCTGGTGGTCGGTAACCTCCTGGTGATTGCCGCCACTGTCCTCTACGGTATTTTACCACCTCCTGCCTCACTGAAGTCAATAGGCGTGGAAGAGGAGAGGCGCGGTGGTGTGACTGGCGGAGTAGTGACAATAGTGCTACCTGAGGGCAATAGCAAGCCTGCTTAATTGGTTTTGTACGGACTTTGTGCTTTACTTTCCTCCTTTTTTCTACTATTGGTTCACCGGCGAGATGTATTTTTCATGTACCATTTCCTAGTCTTCGAAAGTGCTCTCTATACTTTAGACCAGAAATAGAAGTCTTATTTGCCTGTCCTGCAGTTCACTTATCAGCGGGGACATATTTGTGTCCCCTAAGTGGATTGGAACTCTCCCTCCAGATACAGCATCCGCATAAAGTTAGCAGCCTCTTAAAGTCGTCAATTTGATAGAAGCGTTTCGACGAACATGGGTGTCTTAAGGGCAGTAACCCCCACGGTGGAGATTCTCGCTCTTCTTGTGCCGTCAAGTCCTACATCTGTTGCTCATTGATAGTTGTCATTTTTGAACTCCGTTTCATTTGCCGTGAAGATGTGCATTAATTGGGATTTCGGAATAGTAAATCAGTTTTGCATTCATCAATTTGCATGGCAAAGTATTGAGTCTTGTACGCACTCACCTTGAATTCACTTTAAAATATTGTTGTCATTGTAATGCTGTTATTGCTTATTTGACTCCTTGTTTTGGGTTTCGTGGAGGCTTAGGGCTCTGCGATTGTACTTCCGCTGGGTGGTGCGGACTATGGGCCATGCCAAAAGCCCATTAACTCTTCAGCATGTCTAAAATACACATTCTGTCCTGGTATCACGACTTATTTCGTCTTCAGAGGAGGTCCAGAGCACTATAGTTACACCGAAACTGGTCAATTTGCAAATATGTATTTCATCTCCTGATTTATCCTAGCAGTACCACCAACGTTTAGGACTCTTGGCTTACTTAGAGATTTTCCGAAACGTAGTAGTCTAGAACTAGATTTAAAACACAGCTCCCAACAAGGACTCCTCAGTTTCCATTACATGAACCTTCGCCTCGGTGTCATGACGCGAAGGCCGTCACTAGGGCCAAGTAGTTACTTTTTTCCCTGTTAACGTAGTTTACCAAGACTTTATGGTGGATTCGGGGTGCCGTTGGTCATTGGGATTTATGTTAGAATTCTGGTGGAATTAATTTTTAGGTAGCAAACCACATTAATGTAGATGTTGATAGATTTGTTTTCTCATCATCCTCATGGATCAATTTTGCAGTTTTACGGAAGCGATAAATTCAGCCCAAATAAAAAAATGGAACCAGATCTTTCTAGTTTTATTTAACACTCAAACGCTTTGATTAATCGAGTCTAGGATTGTCTCAAGGTCCTTCACACGACACCTCGCCGTTCGGTTCGTTTGGGTCTGTCGTTAATGTTGTCGTTTTGCATTCGTTTCATTGTTTATATTTCTCTAAACCACCTAGTGTGGTATGATTTGCTGCCATCTATTAAAGGTAACGCTCGCTATGTACTCACACGTATGAGTTTGTTAATTTGAATAGTAGAACTCCCTTTATGAGTTTAAAGATCCCATTTTTTTGTCTTCAGGTATCAATGATATGAACTACTATTGCACAGTCCCCTTCATTTTGCTTCTGCAAAACCTTTTAGTAATTAGCCAACTCTGGTGTCGTGATGACAATAATCAAACCGTTGATTGGTATGAGTGCTTTATCATTCAATTCTTTCCTCAACCTATGCAGGCACATAGCTTACAAATTTCCCAATAGTTTCTCATACGCCTCTCTATCTCCTGATTACGCAGAGTGGCGTCTATCAAGTGCCGATCTAAGAAAGAATGGGTTCTTGAAGCGTACTTTTGACCAGGTCTACAATAGCCCAGACGCTGGTCTTGTCTATGGCATGTACAACGATGAGACACCTCCTAATCTCACACTCGCTTATGACTTATGGTATGGCCATATGAAAGGTAGAATATTCGTCAAGTTATGTTGCACCGCTCAAATGATTGGGCATCTCATTGAGGTTTGAAATTTTTTGTTTGTTCTTCAGGGCTGTTTGCATTTACCGAAAACAGACGGGGGTTTTGGCTAACTCATAGTGTACCTAAGCTTCCGATGAAATCGGGGGAATTCGTCTACCCAGAAACTAGTAAAAACTACGCGCAGCATTTTTTCTGTGTTTCCTTGAATTATTCGGCTCTAAAAACGATTGGTATGTCGTTTTTTCAATAATGTATGCATGCGTTGCTTAGTTAAAATTACTAGTTAATGCCAGTCTGGGGATGACACATAAGCTATTGGACTAAATCCACAATAGAGTGTGTAGTCACGCTTGCGGCAAAATTACTTGTACATTGCATACGTTTTTCTTTCACCATCTAGCTGATCATCTGATCATAAGCAGACCTCTGATACAAAGCTACAAGTTGCCTGAATCTGTTGAAAAGTCTATTCCACTGTTGGGGGATATTTTCCATCATAACGGTTTAAAGAATATCAGTCAAACCCTCATCACGAGTCTCAGTGGAACACAAAGTAACCTCACCCTGCGTCAGTTCACAAAATCGCCTAAATTTCATCACGGTAAATACGTCTATTTAACACATTGTTGTATTTCTACATGTATTTGGATTTTGAAAATCGATAACGCATATGTATCTGTAACTTCCAATTACTTATTTTTAATCATTCATCCTTTAATCGCTTCTATAGCGATTACACTGTTTGCCTCAAAAACGGCGTAAGTATTTGCTATATTCGAGAATTAACTTGCCAAAAGAATAGCACGATTGAGAAATTTTTGTGCAAACAGTATTTGGCACTTACGATCCACCTTTTTCTTTCTGATCCTTGATATTTACTTCATAAAAACAATTGAATCGTTCATTATATAAGCGCTTTTATTTACATTTCTTCAATACTAAACTGACTTGCAGGTCTTTTTATTGCTATAACGATGCATTCCACTTGCTTGTATGAGGTATTTGTACCAACTCGACTTTCTGTGGAACGTGTTGATAATTAATCCTTGTAAGTAGATTTGTTATTATTAAACAGATCCTACAAATATCTAAAGGCTGGTGCTTGAGGTTTTTTTTATTTTTTGCACATTTTACTTCTGAACTTTTTTACGTCCCATGAGCAAACTTTTTTATCTGCTGTTTCAGACCTATATTCTGAAACAATTGCTCCAAACTTGAAAGTCCAGCTTTATACTGAGACGTGGCGGCACACGGATTCAAATCTCCCCTCTAACTGCACTACTGAATTTTGGGTACCTCAGCACTTTTTAAACACTAATTTCATGCGTATTTTTTGAATATACGGCTTTGTGAAAGTTATTATTTATGTGATTTCTGTTTTTTCGAATGCAATATGCCCACCTCCCAGCCGTAACGACTAGCACTTATCCAATTACTAAAGTACGTGAAGTCTCGTTGTGTTTTAATCTGTACGATGAAACGTTATTTTGTTAGACTTGATTTTGTCTGGAAATAATCTAATTTTTTGATTTGTACAAATCTGTCGGAAAGGTGAGGTAAGGATTAGAAGAGATACATGCATTGGGACCATCTAAACAATGTATGACTCCTCCATCTGTTAACTGTACATCCCGTGTGAGATCAATCCTATGACGGGTTTCAGGTAAGTACGCTAAAGCCAATTACTTAAGGCAATTATTTTCCTTCTTTTATAATAGGTAAAAAATATCGAAGAGTTGAAATGGCCAACGCCAATGAATGTGGACCTCAGATCAACTCGTGATCATGCTAAATGGGCTATAACAGTAGAAGACGATGCAGAAAGGTGGACTTGTTTCGGCGACATAAACCGATCGGTGAATTTGATTTCCTTATTTAACAGACTATTTGCATTTTGCCCTTGAATACGAATGACATAAGAGTCTAGGTAAGGGTTCAAGGCGTCGTCTGGAATGACGGGAACTAACCTATCTTATATCCTATACAAAGTTCATTTTAACCCATTAAGTTGAGGAAAAATAGCCCGATTTTTCTAAAGTTATTACAATAGGTAACTGTAGAGCTGATGCATTAAGCATTATGAAACCTCATTAATCAGTGATAGTTGTTGAGGGAATATTGCAATTGGACTGATAGCCAGCAATTAAATAACAAGTGGGGCAAATAACACTAGCTACTTATTTGCTGAAAGTGGTTGAATTATGGTGAGGTTGTTATGGCTTTGGGATGAGAATGTGTTCTAGTGTCTCAGTTTTTTGTTTTAACTCCCTTATGTCACTTCAGCGGGTCTTTCCAATGCTAATTTTAAAAGAAATACTCTTTTATTAAGGTGGCACATTTGTTTTAGGCTTCACGTCCTTCCTTCCCTTATGGAGCCTCAATCCAGAACTTATTGTAAATGGGATTCATGCTTCGGTGAAACACAAACAATGCACTTTCTTGAAATTCATTTCAGGCAAAATCTTTTTGACAGCAGTCGCTTATGTGTAGTCAATCTACTCTGCCTAATCTCTAGCCGTTCAGCCTACATGATCTGTTTCTACTTTGTTGCAAATTAGTGCAAATCTCACTGCAGTGGGTACCAATTCTCTGTTCTCTGTTTACGCTTTAGCTTCTTCCTAGGAAGACTGCGGTCAATTTTTCAAGTCTAGTGCCACGCTGACGATAGAGATTTTTTAGGCTTTGTTTTGAAGCACCCAAATAAGATTTCCGTATGACAACATAAAATAAAATTTAGATGTCTATAAAACAAAACTTAACGTAAGCTTGTGTTTTGTGGGGTACAACCAAAGTAGTCTGATGCCCCTTAATAATCTTTAGTAAATTTTCATCTAATTTTTGGATTTGTTGTTAGAATTGTCGATTCTTTACCTTGCCCCGAGCTTCCCGGATATGCGTTATTGTGGCGATAATGCTTTCAGGTCATTATTCCCTAGTATCTTACTTTATTGAACGTCCCAGTCAGTTCGCAAACCAGTTCTTCCAAAACTCACCAGATCTATCTCAAGGAGTAGTATCTTTATTGAGACAGTGATAACATTTTTCTGAAAGCAGCTGTCCCAGAAATGTTTACTTATTAATGTTAATATGTTCACCTTAGTGATGTCACATGAAAATACCCAAAAATTTCATGTGTTTATTTAATGTGGAAAAAAACTTCCTTTAAAATTATTCGTCTTAAACTATTTTCAGACGAAAGTGGGACTGCCAGCGCTCTCATTCATATAATCTACTTTTAATGATTGAATTTCGATAAGTTTACTATATCTTTATGTAGGGAATGTACTGGGCACTTTATTTTACAAACACTGGATAAGATCTCTTATTCGGATTTTGTGTAATTTAGGAGAGTCAGTTTGCCAGGGGTGGGGGTGCACTCTGTGTCGAAGACCCGAGAATTTGGAGGCTCTTCTACGATTTGGTGATTCAGGTTGAAGCTTGCCCAGTCATCGTTCCCTGGACTAAACTTTACCCTGCCTCGCCTCTGGTTTGACACGCAAAATCTGGATTTTGATTGGTTTGAAATTAATTTAATGTGATTTTGATAAGTTATTTAATTACAACTTTTTACTGTTTTTTTGTTGGTGAGTGGGGGGTACTTCCGCAACTGCTTAATCAACTCGTCAACTGATGGCATTAGTTTATTGCATTGGCAAGTGATGAGGCCCCCTGTAAGATGTTTATGATACAATTCATATCCTGCGTGTATTACCAGCATTAAAGCGGTGAGGTAGTTTTGAGAGTGTGCATGAACACCCTCTACTACCTTTGGGTAGTTTAACGTCTTAAAATGGGAGGAGTCGGGATAGATGTCTTATTCTCGGATTGTATTTCCAAAAACCCACTGTTTTAGATAAGAACGGAACTTGACAAATATTTCAGCTTAAGCTTATAAATTATTAGTAGCCTGTACAATCAAGTAAACTGTATTCGCCACGTCACGTGGGGTTCCAATTAGGAAATAGAATGTTTCTATGTTGTCTATGCGCTAAAAACCGGTTTCATGACAATGTAGTGGGGAATCCCTTCCGTCAAATACTTTTTTGGCTACCGGACCAAGTGTGTTTTTAGCTCATCCTACCCATGAATTTGCTGAGGTGAGCAATTAGATGCTGGTCTAACGCGGAACCCCTATATTCCACTTTGAATATGCTTTCAAATGGCTATTTTAAATGGACAAATTATTCGCGACGTATCTAATCTAAATGAGAGCATTTTTGGAAGTACACAATGCCTGATAGCTTACGTAAATTCCTACTTCTCATGCACTGTAGCTATTTGTTGTAAACTTGAGAGATGAAAAACTCGTAATAATCCCTCGGACAATTCACTGTTGTATCCAAGAGTAATGGTTCTGTAAATAAGAAGTAACTGGGATGTTTGGTTGATGATCTTGCAGGCATTTGACACAAAAAAACAGTCGCATAATATATTGCCAATTAATTTCTTACAACTTCGCCACCAGGCCCACATATGGGTGACGTGCTTGCTACTACCTGAAAACTATTAGCTGTACAAAATCGCACCGAGAACAGATTGGCTGGGCTCACAACGATGAGGTAGATGGTTGCATTTTTCTAGTTTTTGAGCACCAGTTGAGAAAAAAATAATGGAAACGAGTGACAAGTGTTACCACACCATAGTGAAACAAAAGATTGCATATGCTACGGAGGTCAAATTCTCCCTGAGGCAGGGGCTGGCAGCTGGCGTGTACAACCATTTCTGGCCAAGGCTATTAATTAGCAACGACATTAATGGGCATAGTTTTAAAAAAGACCGCATGGGATTTGCTTTCGCCAAAATGTTTTATTTTCTCTGACGATATTTTATAGCAAAACCTTCGGTATGTGAAAAACCCAGGTAATTGCAAATAATTCAGTGCAATAAAGTTTAAAATAAATCCCCGAATTTCTTTCACCAGCGTTAATCTTGCATCGGAATTCCAAAGTGTCTGGCCAGATTTGTCAAAAGTACTTAATTTCTAAAACACCGCACCTCCGGAGGTTACTGACAAGTGGTAAGTGTAACGCATAGGCAGGACAGAACTTTTCAAACGAGAGGCACGAGAAATGACCAAAAATCCAATCAGCTAACGCTGTGAAATAAACGCAATTTACCTAAGAAATAGAAATTCGTCACTTTAACCGACTACTAACGTCCTGGACTTCAGCGCCCTGCTTAAAGTCGAGAAAGTGTTTAATAAGAACATTGACACGACAAGTGCCTCAGAACGATAGAGTTATCCTCCAAACGGACCTTTTCACAATACGGCCTGGACTCCTCTGAAAAAGTCCTTAGAATACTACTGCAACATCCTACAGCTGACTAGAAGCAAAAACTTCCATAGTGCACAACAAAGGCTTTTTTAATCCACAGCAAGCTTATTGGCATATTTGATGGGATCGTTTATACCTATAAGAAGAAACCAGGAAGCGAAGTCTCATTGGTCGGGTCTAAAAGAGGGTCAAATGTGCTGACATCTGGTTGTGGGGTTGTGAATCATAGGCATTGCTGCACATACACATCTAGAAATACTACACGGCGACAAAACATTATTGCCGTGATTAAGAGCAGTACAATCTTAATACAGTCATGCGCTAATTCAATTTGCGTTCATAAGTGATTTGCAAGTGATCACTCAACTCAGAATTCCTCGTGGTTGACAAGCGGACAACCAAATGTAGCTTCTCCCCATCGTACTTGTAGTCACGCACAACCTAAGGAAGGAGAAAGAGCAAACTTGTGACTTGTGGGAGAGAATGGTGCTGTTATATTTGCCATGAAATCAAGCACGATGGGGGAGATGAGTAAAAGCAGGTATAATTTAAAGGAATTTAACAATAACGAGATTGAACCCTTTTTCACTTTCCACTTCGCTTTTCAAAGAAAATTCAACGCAACCTGAGGTAAGATAAGCAACAAATAATGGTGCTTGACGGGTTAGAAATTCCTGCCCTCATTTATACGATGAGTGCATGGCAAGGTATGATTGATGAGAAAAATATTTTACAAACAGTTTAATTAAGGGTAAAGAAGTGTACAAGAAGCTATTTTCATGCCTGTCGATAGCCACACATACCTCAAAAATAGGCTTTAAAGGGGGATTCTATGGCAGGTTATTGGATATTTCCATTCAGTTAATGTGAAGAGTAAAAGCACTCAGTCTGGAGAAAACTCTTAGCTACCCTACATGACTGACATTCTTAACGATTTCCTCTTACAAGCGAGTGCTACTTCCCTCGATGATATTATTAAGGACTAAATTGTGTGGTAAGTGAATTTCGAATACACCAAGTAGCGCTTGGTAATCTAACGTCAAAAAAAGGCAGAGGTCAAACTAACATACCTCCACAACACGGGGCTCCCTGTTGAAAGGGGACCGAGTAATGCTATCCGAAGTGAGGAAGATTTTCGTGCTTTTGGATTCGGTCTCCATTGTTCCCAGCAGTATTGAGCATGTACCTTGCGGGCACGAAAATAAAAATTACAGGAATGCAGTTGAAATGGTCAAGATTGCTCCTGGCTTCCGCCTGATATAGTTGATTTCAAAATATATAAATAACGGACCTTCGTTATAAATAACCAGAGTAAATCTCCTAGGTTAGAATGAAAAAGAGATAATATGCTCCTCAAGTAGAAATCTGGAAAAAAAAGCTAATTCCAAAAATAAGCATTGCAAGTTTTTGCAAAGAAAATGTCTAAGCAAAAACTGTTAGGTGTGTCAATATTGAGAATAGAGAATATAGAAAAACAAATGTTGCAGGAATGTAAATAATAAATAGGGAATATTTCCTTTAAAACGTTAATGGAAAGTGCAAATCGTCTCAGTGACGATGTGTTGGAGAATAACTCACCAAGATTATCAGCCAAGCAGAAGAGAACTTGACTGCCTTCATGGCACTTTACAAAGCCGGATTCTCTGTGACGAGTGACTCCATCAATTAATGAAGTAGCACTAAATACAGGAGTCAAGATTTTCACCATAAAACAAAACAGCACTTTGGGGTAGTGAGAAGATCGACGCTACAAGAAGGTGAATTGTTCTACTTACGAATAGGCAAAGTTGGGCTGTCCGATATTTTCAATGACTAGATCTTCCTCGTACTTGAAGGAGGGCCCATGCGGTAGGAGACCCAAGCCAGTGCCGTGCCACCGACCGATCAAGAAGCTAAGGCGTTTCATTGACTCGTGGACTAGGAAGGACGTGGGAAAAGAGAGATTGGATAAACCCGGCTATGCGCACACTTGTTTAGTACGCAGAAGCCATACAGCATGCCACAAGCTTACCATCTGCCATTGGAAATGTTTCAGACAGACTAAAACAAATTAAAAGGTTGATGAGAGGTAAAAAGACAAGTGTTTACAGAAATGTCTGGTTATTTGTGCATGAAGCCAGTAGCCTACAGGGAGATAAAACGCAGGGCAACCGAATGAAGGTGGAGATGGTTACGTAAGAAGGCAAGCAAGTTGAGAGATTTTTGCATCACATTTCTCGCAAGTGGCAACGCCTAGATAGATGAAATTAAAAATGCGCATGGGAATGCCTTTACGAAAACATAAAAAGGGGGGCCGAACGGAACTCTATCAGAAGACGGAAACAGGAGGTACAGTTACATTGTCAACATAACAATTGGCACTAAAAAAAGCACCCATTCTTTTCACCAAGAATGGGATAACCGTAAGTGATGAGAAGTGGAAAACTGGAACACAAGTCTAGATGTGAGAGAAACCTACCCAACATGGCCAATATTCCTGAAATCATGCAAGGCATAATTGATCCAAAAAAACGCTGGTAATGAAGACGAGTAACCAAAAAGAAATGAGAGATTTTTACGATTTGGGGAGCTCGAATTTACATGACCTGTCTATTTTTATAGGGAAACAAAAGCAAGAGGCAGTAACGATGGCCACAGGAGACACACTGTGCAATTTACAAAGTTTAATAAAAATTACGAGGTGAGATATATTTAGGCTGATAGCAGGCAGATACTTTGCACCCACTAGTCCTAATTCTGTAACCCCACCCAGCCCCGGGCAGAGTGAGGCACGTACAGGGTATTCACAGTCGCCGCAGAAACCTTGGGAGGGGGATCAATTGTACATAACAACAACAAAATTTATTAGACCTTATATATTTAGGCAAATTGTTTTAAAATCAACTACGATAAAATACTTTGAGGGTTCTTTCTTGTTCGCGTTTCTGCCTTGCAGATGTAGTAATACGATTTATAAAATTGAAAATTTAAATAATTGAATGATTTGAACAAATCACAATTTCGCGTGCTCTTGTGTTTTTTGTTGTCACCCTCATTTCATAACTTCATTGTTTAAAAAATTTGACTTAATGACCTATATTCCCTGTCACCCAATTAGGCTTCCTTGCTTACGTAGCGTCGGGCTTTCTTGTCCTTTACTGGTCTTCTTCTGCGTGATGGAGCTGTATAGTTCTCCATGGGGCGGTCAATCAGCGAATTCTAGTTCCGGCCAATTTTATGCTCCTCCCGATGTCCCTCCACATACTTATCCCCAACAGTACTACGGCCCCAGCTCTTATCAGCATTCTGTGCCTCAGTCCGCGACCTTCACTCCGGCCGAAGGACATGTTTTTGTAAATCAGTTTGCCCAAAATGTCGCGATGCAGTATGGCTCGGAGGCCATCGGACAGGGTAGACAATTGGTCCAAGAAAAGGTATGATATTGTTTTGCACTGCCCTTGATTACTGTTTTCTAGGTTGGGAAGTACTTTTCTTTGTCCAAACTGAAGCACTATTTTGCTGTTGATAATGCATATGTTGCCGGAAAACTTGGGATCCTTTTCTTTCCATTTTTTCACACGGTAAGCACATTCTTATTCTGCTTATTGGCCTGCGTTGAAGTTACGGAGTTACTATTCTATTATGCCTTGATGACTGCATCTTGCTCTGTCAAAAAGAATCTTGGGCCGTCCTCATTGTTCTGCTGTTTGTCGATTTTTCATGGACATTTATTTTTATTCTCAGTACTGCTCCCCCAATTTCTGTAAATCATTTAAAAGAGCTGTTCCACTGGCGACTTTTATTATTTGGGTGTAATCTCACGGATTGATTCTCAAACAGCGTTCCTCCTTAGAATTACTTGCATAATTTGGCTGAGGTATTTAAGTATTTTACGTGTCTTATCGTTCTTTTTTGGTTTCTTTTAATCTTTTTATGTGTATCTCGGACACTTTAGGATGTGTGTTACTGCAGGTCATTGTTTTGGCAGTGTTGTGGCATAATATTGTTTATTTAAATTGTAAATGAAACGCCCAAAGATTGATGCCGTTGTACCCTTGCCTCACCCGTAAAAAGTTATTTTAGGTACTGGCGATAGAGGTCAAATTAAGTTTTTGGTCTTTGCAACGTCCAATGCCCGATGCCACTATGAAAGAAGTCTTGACCTTTTCAATAGCCTGCTGCAAATGGACTTCTTATTTCTGAAACTGGATTTGTTCTACGAACTGCTAGATTTATTGATGATATGTTAGATCCCACGCGAAGCCGCACGAAGTTAGTGATGCCTAAAATTTGGATTCTCTTCACGATCGGTCTTGAGAGTTTTAACACCTAGAAGCATATTTAATCTCTGTCGTATACCTTCATAAACAAGTTATATAGTGTAGGATAGTGTTATGATCGCTTGTTGGACGGAAATTTTCCCAAATGAGGTCGTTTCATCTGTTTTCTTAAGCATTATATCATTTCCTCAGAGTAATAATGATGTAGCCAGATATTTAGCTTTGTTGCTGGGGCCGGTTGTCCTATCATTTCAACTATAAGTTTGGATAAACGCTTAATTTTGATTAATGTTTGCTGGTCTTTGAAATGTGAATGATGAGATCCTAGTGCTTCGTATTTTTTAGCGATGGGATTTGCAATATGACGCCATGGGAGTGGTTTCGCCTCGGGGAGACATCAATTCTCCGGATCTCTACATCCCCGCGATGGCCTTCATAACCTATGTAGTCGCGGCCGGTGTCTCTCTTGGTGTGGAGGGACGATTTGCTCCTGACCTGCTGGGCATCCTCTCAAGCCAGTCTTTTTTCTGGCTTATTCTCGAGGTCTGCATGCTCACCCTTGCCCTCTATCTTCTCAACATCCAGTCCAGTCTCGGCTACCTCGACCTCCTCGCCTACTGTGGATACAAATTTGTTCAGTAGGTTCCCCTCCATTCCTTTTAGTCTCTGTAATTAGATATTAGTCGTCCATGGGACTAAGGCCTGTAAGTTCTCTGGAGCTTAATTCTAGACTTCCTCGCGTTACGATCCCTGGACCATGCTTTTTTAAATGCATGTTCAAAACTGATCTGTTATGGCCTGACCTACAGTTTTTAAGCAATGAAGACGTGAATCTTCCAAGGGCAGTTTTAAAACTTTGGTTATACATTGGCCTACAGCAATGCTGCCGCCCTTTTTGGCACCATCAATTACTCTCAAGTAAACCTCTCTTTTTGGTGCAAAAGCAGTGTTGTAAATCCGAAGTTATTTTCCTACCTCTTACGTTCTACTTCACGCCCGTCTCTTATTCAACTAATTTAAAGGTATGAAAGACGTGAAAGAAGGCTAGTTTTGAAGGGTAAAATTTTGGGGTCTGTTTTGGGTGTGTTTTAGCGTTATTTCTGATGCTGTTTATGAAAAACTCCGGATTTATTAACAGACTGAAGTGAATTAGTTTAACAATTATGGCATCAGTAACTTGAATGAGCTTGCCCGTTAAGGCCGATTTCTTAAATTGGAACTGAAGACCATTTTGTTCTATGCAAATGTGGATGATGTAGATTAAATTGGTACTCGTTTTTGAATTCATCAGTGCACTAAAATATGGCACCGTAGTGACTTCAAAGGCGCTGGAAACGCCAATATAGGTAGATTACAGATATAATCTTGGTATGCTTGAAAGTGTAATCTCAAAGTTGTTAAGGCAAGGTTTTTTCCACCGTTTGTGTAGCCTTACGTTGTTCAGCACCATTAACACTTTTTTGCCATTTACTGGATAAAAAACCGTTTTCAACACGCAGTGACGATGGTTTAACTCAATCGGTCTTGAAGAAGTAGTTTCAATGTAATGCGGTTCATGGTCTGTCAAACCTGCAGTGGGTTGCTATCCATCGCTTTTTAGCATGATCACAGTGGTGTTGGTGGCTCTTGTGCTCTCCGCTCCAGGTTACTACTTCGCCCTTGTTTGGACGGGTCTTGCATTTGCCTTTTTTCAGGTAAGACTTCTTTCATTCTCTCCTCTCTCTCTTAACTGGATGGAAAGATGCAGATGAAATCTAGGTTTTGGATTAAAATTCAATATAATACAGAATTGGGTTGGCTTTCTTTTTCACTCATGAAATACCTTAAGGTTATTTTTCTGAAAATTTCCATCTACATTGTTCCATTATTAGCATCAATAAACTTATTCACGTACCCTAAATGGATTTCACAAGATGTGCTTGTTGATTTTTAGTAGATCGTGGGTGTACTAGGTAGAAGGAATGGATAAGTGTAAGCTGCGTGAATATTTGTGGGGCGTTATGGCTCCGGTTTTGAAAGCTCGTACGCACACAGTACTTATTTATCAGATTGCTTTATTTTCCTGATTCATTTAACAGCAGTAATAGTGAAAACTGTCAGCAGCGCCCATGTCATCAATGTGTTTAGGTGTGACAGGAAGCAATAATTTACTCTTGTGATTTTTTCAGAAAGTAACCATTGCAGTGAAGTGATATTGAAATCGGAGCAAAGTTCGCTGTGTTTGCGGAATAGTACCCGTTACTAATTGTTGAAACTCGATAATGAAAGCCACTTCCTGTAATGAATCCAAGCTTAGCAATGAAGCATTATTATTTGCTGGTGCCAGAACAAAGGATATCATCATCGCTACAACTTCGCAGCACAACAGACTCAAAGTCGTTGTTACACGGTCTTGTCGTAATGACACAAAAGTCGGACACCTTCCTATTCATAATTACAAACATTAATATTTCGAGATATCTACTTTATTTTGGGAACAAAAGTTCCTAGTCTCGACGTCCAGACTTCGTAATCAGGGCGCCTCTTTTTTGGAGAGAATAGGAGTAATTTAGCACAGAAAATGTTTCAGTGGCCACAAATCTCAGGCCCTGTTGCGATGTCGTATTAGTCCTTTCGTAACTGCATGTTTCCTCACACATTTTACACTCGCGGTCCATCGTTCTTATTTGTCATTTGTATTCATGATGCGCTAGAAATGTGCTTGTATTGATGCCTTCTCAGAGTGTAATTTCTTCTAACGTAAGTATAAATCAATAAAATCTGTCATTATCTCTGGATTAAATTCCCCCAAAGGTCCCTATGTCCTCGGCGCTCACATCGCTTCTAAGATTTGCTTTTGGTATTGCTGTTGCTAACCTCAACAGTGTTTTCGTCAGTGTAACTGCGACTAGTGTTTGCAGCGGTTAGTCCGCATATAAGAAATCAACATTTATTTAATAATTGCATTATTGCTGCCATTTTTACTAGGACAGTCGGTGGTTCCGTCGAATGAAATGCGAAATAGGGTTTTGTATCAACAGTTTTACATTATTTATAGAAAATATTTACATTAATTTACCTAAATCTGCCTGTCATTCTTTTACCGTGGATTCAGATTCGTTCGCTGAAGCTACAGGTGTTGCCACAGGCAGACCGTCAGGCATCGTTGAGTCCGCGTCGAGGTGTCTACTTCCTCGTCTGCACTGCACTCTTCCAACCCTTCATTATCTGGTGGCTCACCAGCTCCGTCATCCCCACTACTTGGTCCACTGCACCCGTCATTAGTGTCTGAGAAAGAAATTTTTCTTCTAGATCTTAAAGACAGGGAAAAGAAACCGTGTGTGTGTGTGTGAGTAATGCGATGTGACGTATATTATTAATTTCGGGTCTGAATTCTTCTGATTCTGATTTAATTGGGCTTAGAAGGAGAGAACAAAGAGTAAAATGAATTTGATGGTATAAAAAATCAATACTGCACGAAAGCTTGTTTTCTGCGAATTAAAAGGAAATGACGGCAAAATCCTGAAAATGTATATTTCCTCTGGCAAAAGCGCTGGATGCAACAGTCTATTCCATCATCCGGTCAGACTTACGATTTGTCTTCTGGTTCTGAAGAAGAATAGAATTTCATCGCTGCTGCTGCCTATTTATGTTTGTAAAGGAGAGGATCTACGGTGGTGGGCGTTTTTTGCGTAGTTCATGGTCTGTATCTTCTTTTTAGTTGGTGTTCTAGAGAGACTGAAGTTGGTTCTATACCGTCATTGTTGGCCCTATAAGTCTCACAGTTCTAAGCTTGTTTTAAAAGAAGGTGGTATTCGAAATGGGTGCTAGCGCAATGCTCAGCGTGTGAAATGCACGTACGCAGGATGACTGTGGAAGTCGTTTTGTTTTTCATGTAGGAGGACGCGTTTTACTGCTAGTCATCAGCGAAGGATCTGCTGAAGCGAGGAAGGCCGTAAACAGCATCGACCATTTAGCGTTACCCATAAAACTGAGAGGGGAGAGGTAGTTAATGTACAAATGGTGTTAATAAATATCTGTACCTCTGATTGAATGGGGTCTGGAAGAGGGAAGGGAGCGGGGGTGGCGGATTAGTTTGACGTTAAAGTCACTACTTGACTTTCATCGGTAACACTTATGCTTACCACAAATCCTAACCGAGGTAAAATTGGTGATTACTACGTAGGGGAATGTGGTCCCTACGCAGGTTGGCGTTACAGGAGGACTTTTAATCCGGGGGAAGTGGGTTATTTCTTTATTCCTGATCATAGTCTTATTTTTTAAAGCAATGCCGTCCCGATTTAGTATGCTCTAAGGGTTGCTTAAATGGATGCTAATGATACTGGGAAGATTTTAGTGACCCCAAAAATCGTCACTTGTAAGTGCTCAGTGCTTCAATTGAAGCGACTTGCTTTCCTCGTTCTTGTAAAGGGCAGATGTGAACGAAAAAGGCTTATGTAAATGCACAATGGAATTTACATAGATTTGGATGAAGAAGACTTAGTCATCAAGACGCATTTCTCTTGGCATTTGCAACGCAACTAAAATCATTAATTTGATTTTATATGGACTTCATAAATGAGATCTGGGAGTTGGTTTCATTTATTTGGCTATCGTACTGGATTGACGAATGAGTTTGACCACATTCGAAAACAATTTAGTGCTAGTATAATCCAGCCATTGGAGTTTAACATCCAAATGATAGTGTCCTATTAATTATATAACCTCTCTTTTATCCGAGTGTTTACCTTATTTTTAATATCAAATGCGATCTTTCACTTTTGCTGACATGGTTAAATGCGTTGCTAACGTTTTTTTCTGTAAGGTTTATAGACTCTGGAAAAGCAGGATGACTGTTTCCACTATCGGTAAGAATATTCGCCTTTCTAGAACATCGCCCACCTCAAAGATGCTGGTCTTGCTATTGAATAGATTTAAGTAAACATAGTTCAATACCTAATTTTAATTTCTCTGTTAAAATTTCAACTTAATTTCCAGTATTTTAGTTGACTCATCGGTAAGGGTAGGGTTATGCACCAGACTGTGATCACTTACCCGGTACATTCACCAGGATCAGTTAACTTGAGAAAATTGTGGATGCCCGTGGTTATGAGTTTTGCCTACAATCGCAAGGGACAAGACTCCAATTCAGACAGTATTTATAGTGCCCGAGACCAAACTGAAAACTGCAGCCATTTTGTAGTAGAATGGCATGAACAATGGAAATGTTTGGTAATAATTAGTAAAAAACTTTTTCAAGTAATGAATAGGGAGCAAAAATATGCTACGACGGGATTAAAATGACCTAAGCCTCACTTAGGACCCACATCCTTGGCCTAGATTATCTTAGCTGGTCGTCAGATAACGCACATGAAAACGCCCACAGGCTTAAATTAAAAAGTTTTCCCGCAAACTGATTAAAAACTGCTTATTCATAGGCGAACTAAAAATCCCATTAAAAAGAGAGTTCCAATTTGTTGAACTAGCAAAGTAGTCGCAATGTCATATTTTGTTGCCTTTATATTTCCTTTACAAATTTTTGCCTTCGGGACCCAATTTCAGACACACTGCATCACTTTTCTGCCGCCGTCAAAAAGGCCTTCATTTTGATTATAACAAACGGGATTCTTGACGATGCATTTATATTTCAGTACAACCCATTTTTGATTATATTTACCATTACAGTTTTATCAAAAAATAATACTCTGTTTGTAAGTTCATATCAGCTTAGGAAGGTAAACAAAATCCTTTGGACGCAGCTAATTGTAGCCAATAAAGCATTCGCCCTTGCAAAGGCATTTCATCTCTTTTAAGTATCTATCCAGATTCTTCTAATCACTACCAGCTGAAGAAGCAGCTGTTTCGCCTCATAACCCAAGCCGCGACATCATGGTCCTGCTGACGATACAGGCCAAATGCTGGAAATTAATAAGTTTATTGCGATTTGTAATTTTGATTTTCATTGATACACTTAGTTTTTGCGTGAATTTATCAAGCTTCGTGCCGTACTTTCAACCGAAAGACCGGCAAAAAAGCGTAAGCACATTGCTAGAAAGGGCGATGGAGTGAAATTTTTCGTTGATGAATGTGCACTGAACGCAGAGAATTTATTGTTTTTTGTGAATAAGTATCGGTGATGGGAAAAATAATTGCCGCGTAAATCGACTACAAAATTGCTCCGAGAGGTCCGTTACACGAAATAACTTTTACACCCACAGTGCTACTCAGGTAAGTGGAATGAATTTTTCGGCAAATTTTTCAATTTGCAATCAAATCAGTAGGTAAAGTGCGGTGTCCGAATTTATCCGATGAAACGAATAAGTCCTAGTTTTAACTATAATTCCAAAATGTGCGTGTTCACTTTCAGTAAAGACATTGCAACAAGTCGACGTTTTCATTGAAATTACTTTGATTTCCTTTAGGGCTTGTCCTAACCGTAGACAAAGAACGCAATCTGAATGCAACGAGGGGCATTTCTAACCCAATAACTTCATTCTCGTTCCAGAACAGCTCCATAATTACCCCATAAACAGGCAAAACAATGTTGTGGACGTAAACCGAAAGCGAAGTTATAAGTTGCGTTCCAAAGCGGCAACGAAAGCAAAGTCAGTAAGGAATGGCACAAAGGCTTTTTATTTATATCAAAAAATAGGTATCATTAGGCCTTTGCGCCTGTAGTTAAGAAGCACAATCATATTCTTGGATAATTATGGCAAGTTTAATCAACAAAATACTGGTTGGGAATTTCAAGGCATTTTTTGTATCTTTTGACCTTTAAATTACTTTGGAATTGAATATACAATCAATGAGCAAATCATTACATTTGATTGCAATTAGAACATAGAATAAAAAGCCGAATCTAGTGAGCTTGTTGGGTGGCCAGACAACACAATCACAACAACGGAAATCATGGAAACCGAATAATTGGAGGGCTGGTGAATCACCACCCGATCGTCGAAATCAAAGCTGGAATTTCCGGCCAAGGGCATTCCCACAATGAAAGCAGGGCGATGCAATTTCTGAACATACCTTCCCATGTATCAAAGTGCACCTCGAACGCAAATTCACGTTCGAGCATGTCGTCTCGAGGTACCAAAGGGTTAGGTGACATCAGACCTCCAATTGGAAGAGATCTTATTTGCTATTTATTTCAGATTTGTGGAAATTTGAGTAAACCTTAACAAATTTGCCATCTTTGGCAATTAAAACGAAGAAACACACGGAAAAAAAATAACTAAAAACCACGCATTTCGAATGTAACACAAGGGAGAACCAATTACTCATCTAGTTGTAGATAATGTCACAAAATCATTGTGAGTGAAATCCTGCCTGTAATGACTGCACATAAATTAAGGCGGATCCGATTCGCCTTAATCATCCGTAATTTATTCTGGCCCTACCTAGCTGCTACAGTTAGTGCACGTCGGTCTACAGCAACAGAAACGTCGGTTTAATGACATTGAAGGACTTCATGTGTATTTCCTATAATTCGCCATCACTCTTCTAGCTGCTTCAATCGGTGATTTATGCAAGCATTTATTCCTGAGAGTAGAAAACTTCTTCAGCCAAATTACCGTTTTATTTGCACTTGTTTTTGGTTTTAAGGGACTGATATGGATCGCTTAACTCCACACTTTGCATGGATATGTGGTTATCCGAGTGGGGATCCTGCCGTCAAATAAAGTGCTAAAAACAAATTTAATGAACTCATAAATCTTAGTGGGAATATGATTGTAATATACTACTACTTAAACTGTACACATTGCTAAGCTAATTTTGGTTTATATGCAACAGCTTTCACAGCTTAATTAATAATGTTTACTCTTGCTGCGTGACTCAAATATTTGCACTCTGGGCGGGAAACAAGACTTTTTAAGATTAAATTGTGTAACATTTGGGAGATATTCTTATTACTGTGTATTGGCTTCCCTTGAAAAATTCAAAAATAGCTTTTAATCTTATTTTAGAGTTAAGTAAGCCTTCAATACTTTAGAACGCTCAATAAGTCTGGCCTGCAAGTCAACAATATGGATTGTTAGTACTTCCCATTTTTCTTTCATGAAAGTAGAAAATAAACCGTAATCTGGATGTTATGCACTTCCAAGTGTGTATTGTAGACCAGATATGCTTACAGTGACCTACCCAACTTTTCTCCACACATGGTTTGAGGATGAAAGAATTTTGCTAACGCATATTTTACATCCAAGTCATTGCACTGTTTACGTGGAATTGGTGATTGCGTGAAGCAGTCAAGGCGAAATGCATTACAATGCGGATGTATCTAGATAGGAC